GCTACCACAGGAGGAGGAGCTTAAGTACTGGTCCTCCATTGGATGTCGTAAGCGAAGAAATTCAACTCAAAACAAGTATGAGCCACTGCCGGCCAGAAGGGGCGGGGCTTATGGGAGGGGCGGGCAGGGGGGCGGTTTAGGACAGACACAAAACGCAGGGAGCGCTTATTCACAGACAAAAATTTTCCCAAATGCCCAATATACAAGTCAATTCATTCAGAAAAATAACTGACCCCCGCGTGGCCAAGTGACTTGCTCTCTGTGCGTCAGTCTCCCTACCTGTAAAATGGGATTCATAATGGTACCAGGACTATGGGGGGCCCGGGGTGTGAGGATTGAATGATTTCATCACTCTTAAGGCGCTCCAAAACATCCGTGGCAATAGGAAGTACAGGGAGAACTTGATTCTGTTACCCTGGCTCTTGAAGAATTCATTATCTAGCAGAGTATAGAAGCGTTTATTTCTTTGTAACTAGGAGCCTGGTCGGAAAGTAAAAGAGGCTGAGTGCTGAAGATAAAAGCTGACCAACGGAGAAGGCTTCGTCCATCCTCAGGTAGACCAAGGAGGGCTTTCTGGAGGAGGTTGTTTAACCTGAGACTTGAAAGATGAATTGAAATAGGCCAATGTAATAGTGACTGCAATGGGGTGTGTGTGGGGGGGTGACTCGATCATAAGAGTGAATGTAGTAAACATTGTTTTTCTTGTGAAACCTTCATAAGAGTGTATATCAATGATACCTTAATAAAAAAAAGAAAGCGAGAAATAGGCCAAGTAACGGGGTGCTGGTTGGGATGGGCATTTGGACCTGAGGGGATAGCAAATGAAACTGTTTGGGCTTGAGATGATGAGGGTGAGCAAATGGGGCAGTGAAGTAAGGCTGCACAGGCCATTGAGGATCTATCTTAGTACCTGAGAATATTAGTGAGAAGTTTGGGTTTTGTTTTAGCTTGTTGGGAAATCATTGGCAGCGTTTGGTCACAGGGTAAAAAAAAAAACAAAACTTTAGTCTCAAGAAACGTCCTTACGCATGTGAAATACATCTCAAAAAGACTTTTTAAAAAAGTGAAACGTAGACTTACTACCTGACCCAGCAATTCCATCCCTAGGTATCTACACAAGAGAAGTGCAAACATGCTCCACACAAAAACTCGTACACAAATAGTCATGGCAGCATAATTCACAATAGCCAAAAAGTGGCAATCACCCAGATGTCCACCAGCGAGCACATGGATAAACCAAACTGGTATATCCTTGCAATGAATACTGTTCAATAGAAAAGAGCGAAGCACTAATACCCACTACAGTGTGGATGAACCTCAAAAACATACTAAGTGAAAAAAAAACTGGACAAAAAGTCAGGTATTCTATGATTTCAGTATCTTAAGGCATTTATTTGGTGAAATGTCCAAAAAAGGCAAATCTTTCAAGACAGAAAGAAGATGAGGGGTTGCCTTGGACTGGAGATAGGAACCCAGAGTGAGTGAAAAACGTTATGACGTTTCTTTCTAGGGGGATGGAAATGTTCTAACATCAGATGCTGGCACTGGTCCTACAACTCTGCAAATACACCATAACAGTCATTGAATTGCACACTTAAAACAGGTGAACTTTAGGGCATGTGAACTATATATCTATAAAGCTGTTTTTAAAAAAGATCTCTGAGGCTACTATGTGGGGAAGGGCTATAGGAAGAACTGGCAGATAAAATTCAGGATGCCCACCCAGTTAAATCTGAATTGCAGATACAAAACCAATACTTTCTTAGTGCAAATATGTTCCATTTGTCACATGCAATATTTGTGATATATCTATACTAAAATATAATCTGGTACACATTCTACAACATGGATGAATCGTGTGGATATTGTGCTCAGTGAAATAGGTAAGACATGAAAGGACAAATCCTGAGTCCACTCACAGGAGGTCCCTAAAGGAGTCACATCCATAGAGACAGGAAGTAGATTGTGGGGACCAAGGGCTGGGGGAGGGAGGAAGGAGTTAAGGGTTTCATGGGGACAGAGTTTCAGTTTGGGAAGATGGAAAGTTCTACAGATGAATGGTGCAGATGGCTGCATGACTATATGAATGTGCTTAATGCTACAGACCTGTGCACTTAGAAATGGGTAAGATGGTAAATTTTATGTTATGTACATTTTACCAGAGTCAAATAATAATTAGTAATAAATATCAATAAAAAACTTACACAGTTCTTTAAAAATGGTTAAAATTGTAAATTTCATGTTATCTGTATGTAACAGTCAAGTACTTATTATTTAGCTGAAATTCAGATCTACCTGGGCATGCTGTATTTTATTTGCTAAATCAGAAAGGGGGCAAGCATGGAAGTCATGCAAAGAATGAGGAAGCTGTGCAGAAGGGGACTGGACTGGGCCAGGGAACAGATGGGGAGACTGAGGCCTGGAGAGGGGCACGCCTTGTCTGGGGTCATACATGGAGTTGGAGTGCTAAAACTCATGCAAGAATAGAAAGAAAGAAAAAAAGATTAAACAATCTGATTTAAAAAATGGGCAGCGGATACGAATAGACATTTTTCCAAAGAAGACGCACAGATGGCCAACAGGTATGTGAAAGGGGGCTAATCATTCATCATCAGAAAAATGCAAATCAAAACCACAATGAGCTGTCACCTCACACCTATGAGGAAGGCTACTATCAAAAATCTAAGAAACAAGAATTGGTGAACACTGGGGGAAATGGGGACCCTGGTGCACTGCTGGTGGGGATGTACACTGGAGCAGCTGCTATGGAAAGCAGTATGGAGGTTCCTCAAAAAATTAAGAATAGAACTACTGTATGACCTGGTAATTCCACTTCTGGATTTTTATCCAAAGAAAATGAAAACACTCGAAAGGAAAAATGCCCTCCCAGGTTAATTTCAGCATTATATACAATAGCCAAAGTATAGAAGCAACCTGTGTCCACCATTGGACAAATGGATAAGTTATTTGGCCATAAAAGAGAATGAGATCTTACTATTTACAACCACGTGGTTGGACCTCAAGGGCATCATGCTAAGTGAATTAAGTCTGACAAAGGTAAATGCCTTATGATCCCTCATATGTGTAATCTTAAAAACAAGAACAAAAAGGAACCAAGTTCATAGATAAGGAAAATAAATCGGTGGCTGCCAGAGGTAGGAAGTGGGAGAAATAGGTGGAAGGGATCAAAAGGTTAAAAGAAAAAAACTACCATGCCCTTAGCACCCCTAAAAAAATGAACAATAGGTCTTGTTTATCATCTAACACCCAGACACATTCAAATTTTCCTGGTGGCCTAACAAACGTCCTTTTCCTGTGCCTGATTCCCTCACTTGATGTTGTGAACTGCTTCAAATCTGCCCTTTCCATTTCTGTTTTCGACTTCATTTTTCTCAATAGCGCTTAACATCATCTACCCTACACCAGGTTTTATCATATTTTCTGTCTTGTCTCCCCAGCCCCATCCAAAAATCATGAACTTTGCGAGGTCAGGGAATTTTGTCTGTTTTCTTCACTGCTGGTATAGAACTCCCAGGAAATTATAAACGAGTAAATCATAACGTCTGACATTTATTGAGTTTTCTAACTGCAATAATCACTCTTACAATCCTCCTATGACATGGTTGCTATTCTTTTTTTTTTAATTAATTTATTTTTAAGGTATCCTTGATACACACTCTTATGAAGATTTCACATGAAAAACAATGTGGTTACTACATTCACCCATATTGAGTCCCCCCCACCCCGTACCCCATTGCAGTCACTGTTCCTCAGTGTAGTAAGATGCCAGAGTCACTAGTCTTCCCTGTGCTACACTGTCTTCCCCATGATCACCCCCCACACCACGTGTACTAATCATAATACCCCTAAATCCCCTTCTCCCTCCCTACCCATCCGTCGTCCCCTTTGGTAACCAGTAGTCCCTTCTTAGAGTCTGTGAGTCTGCTGCTGTTTTGTTCCTTCAGTTTTGCTTGGTTATCCTCCACAAATGAGGGAAATCATTTGGTATTTGTCTTTCTCTGCCTGACTTAGTTCACTGAGCATAACACCCTCTAGCTCCATCCATGTTGTTGCAAATGGTAGGATTTGTTTCTTTCTTGTGGCTGAATAGTATTTCATCGTGTATATGTACCAACTCTTCTTTATCCATTCATCTAGTGATGGACACTTTGGTTGCTTCCGTATCTTGGTTATTGTAAATGATGCTGCGATAAACATAGGGGTGCATATGTCTTTTTGAATCCGAGAATTTGTTTTCTTTGGGTAAATTCCTAGGAGTGGAGTTCCAGGGTCCAGTGGTATTTCTTAGTTTTTTTGAAGAACCTCCATATTGCTTTCCACAACGGTTGAACTAGTTTACATTCCCACCAGCAGTGTAGGAGGGTTCCCCTTTCTGAGACGGGTGCTATTCTTATCCCATTTCAAGTAAAGCTCAGGGAAGGGCACAGGTTGGGCTACACCTGTTCCTCCTTCAATCCCGTCAAGGCTCTCAGGACAATCTATCTCCTTAATTTAAGCCCTTTGGGGATCTGCCATCATCAGTCCCCAAACCCTAGCTCCGTGCATCTCTTCAACATCTCCCACGTGGCGTGCGTTGGGGGTGCTACTGGGGTTGAAAGCGGGGCTGGGTTGTGGGGGCCTGGAATGGTCCCACATTTAATTGGGACTTTAGCACGTTAACGCTGGGGAGCCAAGGAAGGTTCTGGAGCAGGGAAAAGGACAGCCAGCGATTTCTCCGTGGGCTCAGTCGGGCCATCCCTCCTTCTCGGGTCACCGCTTGGAGAACACCGTGGAAGGCGCCTCCGCACAGCCTCCAGGGAGAAGCGCACTTGTAGCCCTTGGCAACGCAGTCCGGAAGAACCACCGAGACGCCGCCCTAGAGTGCAGATAGGCCGCACGCGCCAGGGACCCGAGGAGAGCTAGAGCGGCTCGCCGGCCCGATCCTCACGTGAGCGAGCGGGAGAGGGCGGGACTTCCGGTAACGAAGTATTTTTTTCCGGTTGTTAGCTCTCGCCGGCCCCTCCCTGCCTGGGCCTTGCGACCCCCGCCCCCCGCCCCCGCGGCCCCCCGCCGCTGGGCCTTCCGCCACCATGAAGAAATTCTTCCAGGAGATCAAGGCCGATATCAAGTTCAAGAGCGCGGGTCCCGGTCAGAGGCTCACGGAGTCGGTGGGGTGCGTGACGGGCGCTGGGGCTTGAGGCCCGGGGGCGGGACGGGCTGGGAAGCGGGACACAGGGAGGGGTGGCCAAGAACCCAAGGGGTGGTGTGGGGGTGCGTAAGGGGTAGAGGAGGCCTCTGTGGGCGGGGCGGGAGGGGAGAGGGGGCGGGGCTTCCGTGTGATGGGGGGCTTCAGGGTGTTAGGGAGAGGCGGGAGCGGGCAGAGAAGGTTCCTGAAAAGGCTGCACCTAGATGCGGGGGAATCCGGGCTACCAGAGCAGGGACGCTGAGCCCGGATAAGTGAGTACAGCCTGGGTTCCCGAGAGTGGAGAGGCGCAGCGTCCGTGGCGATAGGGGTCCAGACCCTGGTTTTGGAGCTCGAGGGAGGACTGGGTGGGAATCTTAAAGGCCTGTAAGGTTGAGGCATTGTTGGAAGGGCTCATCAGGGTCCTAGGAGATCTGGGTGAATTGGGGGGCTCTGCGGGGCTGTAAAAGGTCTGGGAGGAGAGTGGACATGGGTGGGTGGAGGTCGGGAACTGGGAGAGTCAGTGACTGGCAGTAGGTGGGGGCCTTGTGGGTGACAGCTGAGTGGGACCGGAGGCCCTAGGGAGACTGGGGAGGGCAGGGGAGGTGGTGTGCACGCCCAGGCTGCTATGGAGAAGGAGCAGGGCCTGGCTTCCCAGAGCAGAGGGTAATGACGAGATGGGCAGGCCAGGGTGAAGACTGAGAGCTGCTTGGGTGAGCAGAGGGGCTGGGGACTGAGGGGCATCCAGGGTAGGGAGTGGCCGAAGATGTCACCCTGCGGGGGCTGGGAGGAATAAAGGAAGGGATTGTGAAGAGGTGTGGCCCGGGGGGTAGGAGGAGAGGCAGGAAGGTGGCAGGATGGCGGGGCGGGAATCCTGAGGCAGTGGCGGGGGGTGCATGGCCAGGATGTCAGGGCGGCTGTCACAAGGACTGGCGCTTCCACGGTTTCTCCGGAGGGAACACTGAGTGGGACGAAGCCATGAGGGCCGTGTCCGTGAGTCAGGGAGGGAAGCTCAATGGGGACAGTCTGGTCTTGGGAGCCAGATGGAGGGAGGAGGGCCACCTAAGAAGGGACCAGGGAGAGCAGTGGGCCAGACCAGGGCCTCTGTTCCTTTGTTCCAGTGGGTGGAGGTGGGGGATTGGTGCGGCCGGGACTGTGTGTGACAGGAAGGGGGTGGGGGCCTTGTCGGTGACGGTTGTGTCAAACTGGAGGCCTGGGAGGAGAGGGGAAGGTGGTGGGGTAAGGATCCTGGCTTCTGTGTCACACCTGGAGGGAAACTGAGCTCAGTGTTTGTGGGAGGGTGTGTGTTAGGCACCGTGTGTCGTCCGTGTCATGTCACCACCGAAGGAGAGAAAAGGGGTGGGGAGGGTCACCTTCCACTGGGGTAAAACGGGCAGATAAACCCACAGACATGTGACAGAAGGTGGGTGGTGCTCAAGGTTGCCAAGCACAGCAGTGTTAGGGGATAGAGGGTGATGTTGCGGACAGTTAGGTGGTCCGGGAATGCCTCTCCGAGGTGACATTCAAGCCCAGAGCTGGATGAGGTGTGGGTTGAGGAACCAGTGGGCCTGTGTGAGCAGCAGCAGGGAGACTGATGTGTGCAGAGAGGCACAGATGAGGGAGACAGGCCCGTGGGCCGAAGTGGGCTTCAGGGCTCTGTTGTGCCTGCCACAGGAAGGCTTGGTGCAGAGGACTCTCAGGCCCTGGCTCAGGGTTTAGAAGGATCCCTATGGCTGCCCAGCAGAGCCATAAAGGGGGTGGGTGAGGAAATGTCTTGGAAAATGACACTTTTATAGGAAGATCTTGATAGCACATAGGGCTAGGGCAGCACTATGGGACTCCGCTCTTCTTCAGCCTGAGATTCCCAGCTGAGGGGAGGGCTGGAGAGAGGCCAGGGATGGGAGGGAAGCAGGTCCCGGAGGCCTTAGGACAAGAAAGGAGGGCTGCTGGTTTGTCTGAGTGGAGCAGGAGGAGTGAGGCTCTGAACTGAGAGTCCTGGCTCTTGAGAAAGTTCTAGAGGTGTGGCACGAATGATTCCAGCTGCTGGGGTGGGGAGAAGGTCCTGAGGGAAGAAGGAAGGGGAGGTGGGTGTCAGAACAGGACTGCGGTACTGGGGTGTCAAGGCCAGGTCATTGCCATACTAAGTAGATCTGTTAGTCATCTGAACTGGAGGTGCTCCCCATGTTTATTTCCCAGGGCAGAGGGTGGGAACAAACCCAGGGCCTGCCAGTGGCCTAGCACTGCCTGGCACACAGTAGGAGCTCCATAAGTGGCATGTGCTTAGGTATGCTGTCTCGCTGTTGTGGACAGTAAGTGTCAGACTCTTACCCAGGGAAGGGAGTGAGGAGGAGAGGGACACCTCCAGGTCTCACCAGCCCCTGAGAGCGTTTGGGCGCGCTCACATTTGCTGTACCCTGATGACCCCCGTGTGGGTGATGACTTTGAGGCCCAGGCTGGCGCAGGACTTATGCAAAGAGGCGGAGCTGGGAGCAGAACCGCCGTCTGCCTCCAGAAGCTCTGCCACCTGTCTTAGGACTGCGCGGCAGCCGGGGGTGGCCCCTGGGAAAGAGGGATGTGTCTGACGGGGCAGGAGCAGAATTGGAATGGGGACTGGTCTGACGCTGGGCCACCTCACTTTCCCTTTGTCTCACCCCAGGGAGAAAATCCCCAAAGAAAAAGCCAGCCAGCTGGCACACCAGCAGCCTCGCCAGGGACCCACCGATGAGGCGCAGATGGCGGCTGCAGCAGCGCTGGCCCGGCTGGAGCACAAGCAGCCCAGGGCCCGGGGCCCCACATCACAGGACTCCATCCGGAACCAGGGTGAGCTGCTGCCGTCCTGGGGTGGAGCCGTGCCCCTGCCTGCATGATGTTGCCCTCACGCCCCTCCATCCTCCGGCTGGGCCGCTCAGTTCCCAGGTCCCAGACCCCAGGTATGGCCTCGATGAACATAATTACACGGCCAATGCCTTGAGGGCTTGAAAGTCACAAGTGTGAGAGCAGGGAAAGGCACAAGGGGTCTGATGTGGTTGGGGCAGTACCGCTGGCGGGGAGGCTGGGGAGGGGAGGAGGTTGTCGTTGGGTAGAGCCCGGGGGTGTGCAGAGGTTGTTGGCACAGACCTTGAGCTGGAGGGAGGACTCTGGCACCGCCCCCACACGGAGGTCCAGACCAGGGAGGTGCGAGCCTGGCTCACAGGTGGATGAGGGGGCTCTGGGTGGGGCCCACCACTGACTCACCTCTATCTCTTCCTCCAGTGAGAAAGGAACTTCAAGCTGAAGCGGCTGTCAGCGGGATCCTGGAAGCCCCAGGGACCAGCGTGGTAAAAGCACCTGCCTGGCAACACAATGCCCCGAGGGGTGGCTGGGGTGGGGGAGCTGGAGCCTGCAGAGGGCCCTCCCGTCCCCTCCCCTGCATTGGTCTAGCTGACCGGCTCCTCATCACTAGCTGAGTGCCAGGCCCTAGGCTGTAAGCACCAGGCCCAGGGGTGCGGGTGGGGGGCACACAGAAGAGGTGTCAGGCTGATAGAGGTCCCCTCTGGCCTTGGGGAGCCCCTTCCAGAATGGTGGAGGCAGATGTGGTTCAGGGGCTGCTGACTGCAGCTTCCGTACTCAGCACTTCATGCCTGGCCTGGGTGCAGAGGGTAGATCTGGGCCCCGCTAGCTCATTGGCACCCCTGTAAGCCATGAGGGTGGGTGCTGTTGCAGTTGCCACTTGTCAGAAAACTGAGGTCCCAAGAGGTGAAGCCAGGTGTTCTCCGTCATGTGCCTCGACACCTGCAGGGCAGGACTGGAGCCCCAGTCTGTGTGACTCCAAACCCCATATCCTTTGCACTGCCCTCCACTTCCTTCCTAGGAGGTAGGGGGGCTCTTCAGAGCCTGATGTGACCTGGGAGGCTTTCCTGGAGGAGGTGGGCCTTAAAGGAGAGCTTGGCAAGAGAGAGTGTCTTGAGCAGCTCGACCCTTGAGATCTCACTGGATTTGAGAATGGAAGAGACCTTACAGAAAGCCTGGGAATTGAGGCCCAGAGGCTGGGATTTGTCAAGGGCCGCATAACTCCTGACGTCCCACCCCAAGCTCCTCCTTTTCCGGGTAGAGGGAATGGGAACAGTGGGAGCCATTGATTGAGCACTTAGTCTGTGTGAAGCTGCTGCACCCTTTCTGTTCTTTACCCTAATTCTGAGCTTGTCCTGCAGAGACATTTTACAGACCAGGAAAGAGGCTAGGAGGGGCTCAGTCACTGGGCCAAGGTGTCCCATGACTAATAAGTGGAGGGGACAGAGTTGGGGCCAGTGATGCACTCTCAGTGGCCTGGGACGGCCTCTGCCCCATGTCCAGGCTCAGACAGCTTCATGCCCATCCCCCAGGTACCTGAGCCTAACGAGGAAGGCCCGGCCCACTTGGAGGTGCCTGGAGTGTGCTTCACCTGCCCACTCACAGGGGCCACCCTGAGGAAGGAGCAGCGGGATGCCTGCATCAAAGAGGCCATCCTCTCGGTGAGCGCTGGCTCCGTGTCCCCACCCCCCAGCCCCGCCTCCAGGAAGCCCGGGTGGCACCCATCCCTGTGATGTCCCCATGTTCCTGCTTTGTTGTGTTTCTGTTTTCATCCCTCTAAAGAGGTGACACAGTACACGTGGTACAGAATTAAAAAGACAAAAGGGCAGCCAGAGAAAAGCCACCTCCTACTCACATCTTGGCCACCCCACCGTCCCCTAGGCGACCACTGTGAGTGGTTTGGGTCCCTTTTCAGAGATGTCCCAAATCTACGCAAGCCGCTGACATCTGCCTCCCCCTTGCATGTGCTGTTTCTATTTTTATGTAGAAAGGTAACGTGCCGTTGTTCATTCCTGGCACAGAAACTGCCAGGTATCATCAGTACAGAAAGAACTTCCATGTTATTTTTTTTCCCTTAAAGTTCTGTATTTGGAAATAATTTCAAACTTAAAGAATTGTGAGAACAAAAAGAACACCTGAATACGCCTCACCCAGGGTGTGAGTTTTCGTTATTAGGACAAGCGGCCGCAAACTCGGGGGCTTCCAATAGCCCAGGCCTGTTCCCTTCTGCTTCCGGAGGCCAGGAGCCCGCCCCGGGGCCCACTGGACTAAAATCGCTGGCGGCGTGTGGGGCCCTCCTGGAGGCTCCGGCGGAGGCAGTTCCCTGGCCTGATCCGGCCTTCGGGCTGTCTGTATCGCTTGGGGTTGTGGCCCTTCCTCCTCCCTCCTCATGGCGGGCAATGAGTCTTTTCCAGGCTGCCATCTCTCTGGCTTTCTCTCTCCTGTCTCTCTCTTCCGCCTTTTAAGGGCTCTTAGGACTGTACAGGGACCCCAGCAGGACAATCCAGGCTGACCTCCCTATTTTTAGGCCCCCTGATTATTGGTCTTAATTCCATCTGTCCCTTAATGCCCTCCTTGCTGTATAACTTATATTCACAGGTTCTAGGGATTAGAACATGGATATCTGCTATTCTGCCCACTGTACCCCAATTTGCCAGGTGTGGACATTGTGGCTCCATTTACTCTATTACCCCCACCATTTTTTTTTTTTTAACAATTTGAGAAAAGGTTGTACATTCTCATTAGAAACTGCATAATTTAATCAGCTCTTTGTGGATGAACATGTAGGAAGTTTCCAGTGTTTTGCTAGTGACAGTTATGTGGTGAACAACCTCGTCTATACATCACTTTGAGCTTTAGGCTCAGTTCCCAAAGAGGAGCTGTTGGGATAAAGGACATATGCATAGGAATGCAGATAGTTGTAACCAGCTGAGCCCCTGCAGGGGTCATCTGGATTCACACTCCCACCAGCAGTGTGAGAAAGCGGCCCCTTCCCTGAATCCTCACTGTCACTGTGGGCTAACAAACTTCTTTGATTTTTACCCAAATTGAAGGATGAAAATAAGATCTCAGGATACTTTCTATTTGCACCTACCTTATTTTGGGGTTAGGCTGGCCATGTTTTCATTTGAGAACCCATCATGTACCCATTTTTCTGTTGGGTGGTTGTCCTTTTTATTTATTTGTGGGCACTCTTTACATATTAGGGAAGTCGGTCATTTGCCCATAATATGAATTGCAAATGTTTTTCTCCAGTTTTATTTTTTGAGTCTGCTTACAATCACTTTGCCATGTAGAAATGTTTGATGTCTGTGTGATTAAATGTGTCAGTCTTATTTCATGGCTTCAGGTTTTGTGGCCTACTTAGAAAGGCCTTCCCACTTTGGTATTAAAATAAGTTTTCCATGGTTTTTCTAGTGCTTTTCTGTTTTGAGTTTTGTTTTGAAGTTTAAAGCTTCAATCCAATCAGAAGTTATTCTTGTGTGGAGCATGAGGCATGGAACCATGTTATTTTTTTCCTACTTTGATAAAAGAGGGGGGGCCTTTTATTGAAAACATCTGTTTTTATTGCAAAGTAAAATCCTCGGTGGAGTTGGTTCTTTTCTGGACGTTCTGGTCCTTTGTCCCTTGTCCACTTGTACACCCTGGTCTCGATTTAATTGTGGCCACGGGTTGCCTGGAAATATGCATCTGGGGCAGCTCTACCTGGGCTGTGGTTGTGGTGGTCCCAGGGGGCAGGGGGGTCGTCTAAGCCTGGCGCTGTCTCGCTGCTGCTTCTCTGCCTCCTCTCCTTTCTCTGCAGCCCCGCGTTCTCTGCCCCTCTTCCGTGCCCCCTGCGGCCCCACCCCTGCAGCTAAACTGGGAAACGGCTGGCAGGTCTGTGTCCGAGCGACCCCCAGAGATGGCCCAGCCCGGGCTGCAGCACCCCCTCCTCCCTCGAGGTGAGGGCAGGGCTGAGGCCCAGGGCGGAGCCATTGATAGTCAGGGCTTTTCCCCTCTTTTTCTGACTAGCCTCTGAGTGGGGGGCAGGCGTGGCCCCCAGGCCCCTGAGGGGAGTGTCTTGGACACTTTCATTCTTCCTCCCAGCACTTTTCCACTGACCCCGTGGCTGCCTCCATCATGAAGATCCACACGTTCAACAAAGACCGTGACAGGGTGAAGCTGGGTGTGGACACCATTGCCAAGTGAGTGGGGGGCCTGCCGGCACCTCCAGCTTGTCTAGCACACCTCCACCCCCCACTTGGGTGTCACCCCCACAGGCTGTCATTGGGACCTGCTCAGGGGGCCTGGGAGGAACGCAGCTCAGGGAGTGAGGCTTGGCCCACCCATCACTCTCCCTGCCCTCAGGGAAGGGCTTGGCCTTTCTGGGCCTCAGTTTACCTGCCTATAAAACGGTTGACCACATCAGGGGTTTCCAGCCCTGACTTTGAGATGGTCAGAGGAATGTGAAGGAGCAGGATCCACCCACCCACATTGTCTGATTGCGTAGATCTCTGGGAGGGGGGTGCTGGGAAGTCCATGTTGCTCCTGACCCGCCGAGCCAGCCCTGGGGACCTGTCAGCCCTCGTGGTCTGCTCTTCCAGCTCTGTGCCATTCTACTTGTTCAGTGTCCTCCATGGGAGGCCTGATGGGGCAGGAGGCTAGTGATGGGCCCCCATGGTGCACAGGGACTGGGCTCCATGGGTGTGCAAGGTATGATGGCAGCCCCCAACCTGGGCACCCTCTGAGCTGCTGTGCCGTCCCACCCCAGGTACCTGGACAACATCTGCCTGCATCCTGAGGAGGAGAAGTACCGGAAGATCAAGCTGCAGAACAAGGTGTTCCAGGTGAGGGCCGCCGCTAAGTGGCTTCTCGCTGGTGCAGCTGGGACCCAGCCTTGGGATGGGGGCAGCTGGCCTGCAGGTAGCCAGTTGAGGCCAGAGCCAGGTGGTAGGTGGGTGAACGTGGCAGGCAGGGAGGGCGGGCTTTATGAACAGAGGTTGTACACACGTGTTATATTTTGTCTACTGTCCCCACTGCCCCTGCTCCAGCGTGTTGACTTGAATTTGGGTTGGAACACATCCCCCACTGCAGAGATTTTTCACACAAATGCAGGTTTCTGGTTTCTGTGGAGAAATCTCAGGGTCCCGCCTCATGGCTCACTACCTGTGCCCCTAGCAGGTCATGTGCTGCCACCTAGTGGCCAAGGTCTCCGCCTGGGCCCTCCCACCCCCAGCATCACACAGCTCGTCTCCACTTGTGGGCCCCCTCTGCCGTCCTTTGGCTCTTCCACCTCCTTCACCCTGCTTGACCTTCTGGGGTCCCATGCCCTATGTGAGCAGCTGGTAGAGACCCTGCAGCATGTCCTTAGGCGTTTTCTGGGTGCCCCACTGTGCAGATGGCTTTGGGGGCTTGGTCCTATCCAGGGGTCAGCAGCCGCTGAGGCCTAGGGATTCTGGGCTGGGTGGCACCAGGTGGGCAGCAAGGTTGGTGGGGCTCAGGAGGCCCTTGGGCCCTGCATGACCTCTGCCTCCACTCCCAGGAGCGCATTAACTGCCTGGAAGGGACCCATGAGTTTTTTGAGGCCATCGGCTTCCAAAAGGCACTGCTTCCGGTTCCTGACCAGGGTAAGAGGAGTAGAGAAGGGCCTTGGCTGAGTGGGGAGCTGGGTGGGGCTCGGGGGTGACACTGTGCTGCCCCAGAGGGCCCTGAGGAGTTCTACGTGCTGAGCGAGGCCGCGCTGGCCCAGCCCCAGAGCCTGGAGAGGCACAAGGAGCAGCTGCAGAGCGCCGAGCCCGTGCGGGCCTCCCTGGCCCGCCAGCGCCGGCTCTTCCGGCCTTCGCCTCTGGCCTCCCAGTTCGACCTGCCCAGGGACTTCTTCAACCTCACGGCGGAGGAGGTCAAGCGGGAGCAGAGGCTCAGGTCCGAGGCTGTGGAGCGGCTGAGCGTGCTGCGGACCAAGGCCATGAGGGAGAGGGAGGAGCAGCGGGAGATGCGCAAATACACCTACACGCTGCTGCGGGTCCGCTTCCCGGATGGCTGCCTCCTGCAGGGTGGGTGCCTCGGCCGGGCTGTCCAGGGAAGGGACCCAGGAGACCGGTGTGGCCCCCTGTGGGAAGGGGAGGTGCAGCTCCAAGTCTGCTGTGCATCTCCTGCAGGAGCAGAAGGCTGTGTGGTCTGAGCTCGCCCTGGGAGGAGGCTCCCTTTGGGAGGGTTCCCCCGAGCTCCAGCCCCTCTGACTGTCCCGCCCCCAGGGACCTTCTACGCCCGAGAGCGGGTTGCGGCACTCTACGGGTTTGTGCGGGAGGCCTTGCAGAATGACTGGCTCCCTTTTGAGCTGCTGGCCTCGGGCGGGCAGAAGTTGTCAGAGGATGAGAACTTGGCCTTCAACGAGTGTGGGCTGGTGAGTGACAGGGCTCCGTCTCTGGGTTCTCCTGTCAGTGCAGACTTGTGAGGGCGGTGTCTTCAGGACCAGTGGTGGTGGGACAGGGCACCCAGGGCCAGGCTCTCAGGTCCAAGTCCCACCTTTCCACCCTCTCAGGGTGGGAAATCTCTTGAGTGGGTACATTCTCTGTGCCTCAGTTTCCCAGCTATAAAATGGGAATTGGCAAGTGTTGAGTTCCCTGAGCTGCAAAATCCAGATGGGACTGGAAACGCAGACCTACAGGGAGCAAGCCCGTCATCAGAGGCCCCTGCTGTGGGAACGGGCTGACTGCACCTCCTCGCCGTCACCGGTGGGGAGCAGCCCAGGCAAGTGTGGTACTCACTCAGCGTGAAGAATGAGCAGGGAGACCTGAGTGCTATCACATCAAGGCTGGAGCGCAGCTCAGAGGTCTCACCCCACCATAGGTGCCCTCAGCCCTCCTGACGTTCTCGTGGGATGTAGCAGTGCTCGAGGACATCAAGGCCGCGGGGACGAACCCAGACTCATCTATCCTGAAACCTGAGCTCTTTTCGGCCATGGAAAAGCTCTCATGAAATAAAAGCAGGGTTGGCTTTGGCCCCAAGGGTCTGTCTTGTGCTCTCCTGCTTCCTCCAGCACCTGCTGTCCCCTCCCTCCTGGGCTCTGCGGGGACCACTTGTCCACAGTGACATGGGCGTGGGGAGGGGTACGGGTTGGCTGTGGACCTGGAGGGGGCTCTTGGGGGACAGCCACTGTGTTATCCTCCCCAGTAGCACTGGGCATGAGCCACTTACAGCCGCTCTAGCCAGTTTAACAGAACACCCCACCTGGGGTGAGATGGCATGTCTCCCTGGGCAGAGGCAGGCAGGCAGCATAGGCTGGGTTCCTGCATGCTGTGGCCCTGAGGCTGCCCCATGGGGCTGCTGGTGACAGTGGGAGCAGAGGGGGCACTGGGCCTTTCAGGACACAGCTCTGTAATACTGAATCAGGAACCCGAATAAACAGGATGTCTGATGAGTCTCCTGGTGTGAATTCAAACTGTGATGTGGGCCGAGGCAGCAGCTGCAGGGCCACCAGCAAACAGCTTGGATGGCCTGGGTGCAGCAAAGTGCAACCAGGTGGATGTGCTCTGGGCAGGTGTAGGCACCAGGGGCCCACAGGTGTGAAGGGAGGGAATCCAGAACTGCTGTCACCACCCCCAGGGGGCCCAACTGTGCTGAGGGAGGGCATCCCAGCGACCCAGTGCCATTGGGCTGAGGCAGTTTCATGGGTTGGCGACAGGAGTCCCGCAGATGCCTGTATTCCCATCCCTGGAACCTGTTATTTTCTATGATCAAAGGGACTCTGCAGTGGGGGGCGTCCTGGGTTACTGAGGGGAGACTAGTGTCATCATAGGGGTGCTGAGGTGTGGCAGGAGGCACAGGAGAAGAGAAGGTTACGCAGCAGGTTTGGAAGATGGAGGGTCCGTGAACTGTAGAACATAAAGGCTCAGAAATGGGTCCCCCCAGCTCCCAGAGGAAACCAGTTCTCCCAGCACCCTGATTTTAACCCAGTGAGGCCCATGTCAGACTTCTGACCCTTAGAACTGTAAGAACAGGTCTGAGGTGATTTGTTAAAGCAACCACAGGAAAGGAAGAGGGAAAATGTGGCTTGTACCATCCAAGGCATTTGGCCCTGGTCACACCTGGCAGGGAGATGCCTGGGCCCAAGACCACCCACCTAGATGATCCCCTTCCCATCCCCAGGTGGACCCCTGGCTGCAGTCCCTCCAGACCCTCCCCTGCAGGGGACTATGGTAGCTGGTCCTCTGCTTCCACTGGGTGGTGGACAGACTAGAGGCTTTGATGCCCCAAATGAGATTCTAAGAGAAATCCCTTGTAACCCCCACAACCAGCAAGTAGCTCCTGCACGTGCCTGTCTCACACCTGGGCCACCAGCAGCTGTTCCCACCTGGAGCAGGACCTGGGCCTGTCCTCTGCTGTCTCACCTTGATGACCCAGCACAGGCCCGTTATTCTGGTCCTGACTACAACTTGGAGTCACCAGATTTTCAAAGGTGACAGTGCATGTGTAAGGTGGCTCTGGTCCAGGTGGTCATGTCCACAGGTGTCGTACACATCTGTACTCAGACAGTTGCACCCCACCTCCAGCAGGAAGTCCTGGCTGGGCCAGGCTGCACCCTCACCCAGCGACTGGGTGTTTGTGAGTTCTGCCCAAGCAGGGGCCGGAATGGGGCTCCTAAAGGAGGGTCTGGGTGTTGGCAGGATTGGCAAGCACCCTGAATCAGGAAAGGGCCTCCCCATCTCAGCCATATCGGGTCAACACCCAGCTGTCCTGCATGCTGACACACCAGTTGGCTCTTTGACACAGTGGCCAGGAGGAGGGAGGCCACGAGTCCAGGCCGGTCGAGTCCGAGGACTCTGCCAAAATCTCCACTCCCCGAGGCCTTAAATGGGCTCAGAGACTAGGGCATGGGAGCCTGCTGCTGTCTCCACCTGGCTCACTTTGAACACTCCTGAGGAGCGGCCTGACTCGGAAGTCCATTTGGAGGCCAGGAACACACCCTACTCACCTCCCTGAGCAGGAGGTAGACCACATGCACACCTGCTGGGAGGCCCTCGCCTTGAACTAGGCCAGGGCAGGCCGAGGATTTCTAAGAGAAGAGGCGGCACTTTTGCCGGGTGTAAAGCTTTATACGAAAGCCATGGGGACAGCCCACAGCGCAGAGTGCAGGGCTCAGACCAAAGGACAGAAACAGAGTCTGCAAAGGCAATGGACACACCAGGCCAGGGCTGGAGGACAAGTTTATATACATCCCCACCGTGCTGGGGGTCTCCAATTCATTTACATGGAGTTCATCACATGCTTGCTCAGGGGTCTGCATGGCCCCACCTGGCCATCCCCTTGCAGGACCTCACACTGCAATAATGCTTTATTAAAGGGCAGATTCATATGCCGCTTCTGGAGAAATTTTTACAAATATCAAAAAGAACTAATCAAGCATCCTATATAAACCTTTCCAGACCCCCGGGGAGGTCCGTGAGGCAGAACAAAGTGCTCTTTACACAGGAACCATAGGACTTTCAAGTATCTGAGGCGTCTGAGGATACCCTAACCATTCTACATACATACACTGGCTGGTGGGGCAGCACTCAGCAGGGGCCGAGTGAGCTTCCTGTGGCATCCCGTCCCAGGGACCTGCCAGCTCTGGAAGTGGTTCCACATGGGGTCAGGACCCCTGCAAGGCAAAAGGGCAGAGGCTTTAGCTGGCTGCCCCCACCTTAGAAGAGCAGCACAGCCACAGCCCCCAGAACAGGTAGGGGCTGGAGTCACTGGTCCCCCACTCCTGTCCCCACTGCTAGACAGCCGCACGCAGCCACCGCCCTCCATGAACTCAGAGGAAGAACGACATCTGGCCTCCTTCACCACCTACCCTGTGCGCCCTGGTACTCCTGAGCCTCTCTGCCCAGGACGCTCTCCCCCAGAAATCCACTCGGCTCCCTGCCCCACTGCAGTCTCTGCCCTGACATCCACCAGCAAGTCCCCTCACCACACACGGCCCTGAGTGAGCTCCCAGCTGCCAGCCCGTTGTCACTGTTGTTGTCATGGCTACTGCACGCCAGTCCTGAGCTTTCCTGGTGCATGCATGGTACCCAGGACAGAGGGCACGGCCAGACCACAGAACCTGCAGGGCAGTCCCTGCTCCCCACTAAGCTGTTGGCTGTGTTCCTTTTGCATATGTGTGCTTTCGGTGGCACTTCTCAGTAAGCTTGACACTTGACCCTACAGTGAAGAAGACCCAATGGCAGACAGGAAACTGGAGCCCCAAGTATACGCGGCTTGCTGGAAATCATGCCACCAAGGCTTGCCAGGCCAGCTCTGTCACTGACCGGGTGTCCTCCGTGCCCACCCACCCCACCTGGGTGGCAACCCCCACCTGCAGTTCTTGGGTTTCCCAAATGCAGCTTTCGGACCAGGTTGGGTCCTCCAAGACCCACACCCACTGTTACACCAGCCTGGCCAGCGCCTTTCAGGGAGCAACTCATCCCCATTATTTCCAAAAAAAAAAGCGAGCATGGGAGTGACAGATGTGCTCTTCCCTTTCCTGTCAATTCGAACGAAAAGAGGAGTGTTTGGGGCCCTTCTCACCCCCAACATCCGAGATGTCCGCGACCACACAGCCGCCCTCCTCCTCCTCGTCCTCCTCCTCGTCCTCCTCCTCCTCCTCCGTGTCTGCCTGGAAGCCGTCCAGGTCCCCAGCTCCGACCTGAACAGACAAGGGTGCACAGGCCATCGTCAGCGGCAGGCGGGGTGCAGGCGCTGCAAGAAAGACTGGTGGGGGGGGGGACACTTCCCACCACAGGCCCCCGTACCCGTTAACTCTGCCCATTTCTGCAACAAATTTGGGGACGGCCTGGAACAAAAGGAAGCCTTGGGGGTTCTCTCAAATGAACTAATTGAATCTGGATCTCTGAAAACCACCAGCATTATTTACCTTATCACAAAAATGTGGATTGTTTGTGAATTAAGAATTCTAGGTTTTTGGTTTGGTTTGAAAGAGAAATTAATACAGTGCACACATTTTCTCTGGATTTATTATTTGATATGAATGGCTGAGAATTCAGCCGGCCAGTATTTCCTCGTCCGCCATCAGCTTGGTTCCTTCTGCCTGGCACCTGGCCTCTTTCACTTAATTTTTGCTTAGACCAGCTTCACCAATGGGGATAGCACCTGCCCATCAGAGGTCGGGAGGGGCGGGCTGGGGTGGCAGAACTTCCAGGAGGGTCCCAAGCCAAGTTCACTGGCTTCCCCCAGACACAACATTAAGACGTGGGGTAGTAGGTCCGATCTTAAACATCAACCATCCACGCTTGCTCACTCTGAATGAACAAAGGACTAGCAGGGGCGGCTGCCACAAGCTTATCTGAACAGTCAACAGGCTGCTGTCGGATTTGCAGACTGCTCCCCAGCCTGGCTGCGCCTACTGATTCCCCGTGTGTGACCTCCATGCCCAGACTCCCTGTTTAGGAAGAGCAGAGGGCCCAGCTTGGGACTTTGCTGTTGGAGGTGTTTGTCTGTGTCTGCTAAGCAAAAGGAACAGGTGGATTTCTGCATGGCCGGCCCCATTCACCAGGCCCTCCAAGTGGGAAATGAAAGTGTAAATGAAAATTTTTTCTGGATCCGCAAGTCTTTGGAGGAAGCATCCACGACCCTCCAGGCAGGTGACAGGCTGTAAAGCGTTCAAAAGACAGCATTTTGGACACACCCTGTGTCCCACTGCGCTGGGGGCTGTCAGCAGCTTGTGGTGATGGGAAAGTCCTCCTGTTGTCGCTACTACAGGTGGTGCGTGCAGTCAGAGGGGAGAACGTGCCAACACTGGGCAGCAACTGTAAAGATGTAAGGCTGGCACCTGTTGCTCTTCTACTAATATTTTGACCATAGATTTTTGGCGCAAAGGGCAATTAAGAGGCCTCTCCCCATTTAAAATGAAAACTAAGTTCTGAAGTGTGTAGTCACCCTGGGGCCACACAAACACTTGAGTGGCAGAACTGGTGTCCTGGAGACCAACTACCCACAGAACTGCCAAAGCCAGATGCTCAGAGCTTTCCTTCCCAAGCCGGGCCGTTGTGCTGGCCATGCTGTGGTCCTGGGCCCTACACAGGGCATGCCCTGAGGACGGGCTTTCAGATGCAGACTCCAGGGTTCCCTCAGACCTAGTCATCAGGATCACCAGGCTAGCATGCCCATAAGTTTTAGACTCCTGGGTGCAGGAGCTAGGCCCTGGGCTGGGCTGGGGTGGAGCTCACTTGCTGTGGGGCCTCTAGTGAGTCCCCCATGCTGGCTGAGTCTCTATAAGGTACCCGCCTGTGAATGGGAGCAGCGGCCACACCACCCACATGTGAGTGTCGTCGTATGACATGCCCCCTTTCTCCAGTTCCCAGGGACAAGCTTGCTCACGCATCCACCTGTCAGCTGGGAGGGGGCATCATGGGTCAACTGGGAGCGTGCTCTTTCCTGGCG